CCCCAAAACCCCAAAACCCCAAAACCCCAAAACCCCGACTATTTATCAAATATTTAAATCAGTTAAATTAAAATTACTTCTTTGCTTGAATACCTCATTGTTGTTAAAGTCTCGTATTGCTACAAATTTCATCTGTAGACTGTTGCAGTTCCAATTCGAGTGTTACGATTTATATGAAGAAATGCTTTATTCAATGGTGCCACAATTATATGATTGGACAGTTCAGTGATGTGGCAATTTACAGGCCCATCATAGCAATTGTCTCGCATTTTTATAACATCACACATTCAACCCTCAGTGCCATTAGGCTTTGGCTTGGAGTGTGGTTGCAACGGTTCTGACTAATCTTGCTATTGGTCAAAGTCTTCGTTCTTTAGCTTTGTATGGCTCAAGATCTTGGCGTACTGATCTTCATCATTTAGAATTCAAAGCTTCAATTACAAAGGCACATATCGGATTGGCGATCATAAGAGTGAGATTCAAGAAGCAATCTTGAAGTTCATTAAATTTGTTCAAACACGATACAATAACAAACTGGTTCAGGACTTAAGCCAATAACATTTCACTGAAGTCTAATTGTCGTTTCGATACTTTTCCAGGATTGGATTTGAAATTGTTCTGAGACTGAGATTTGAGTTGGCAATAAAGAGATGTGCATCAAGATACCACTGAATGAGTGTTCTGGTCAAGAACTTGACTTGTAATTCTTAACTTTATTCGAATTTTGGCATTTCTGATCTCAGATGAAATAACTCAATTAACCTTTCTGTAGTTCTCGAGTTCATCGCTCATATTCATCAAGTTTGAATTCTGTGTGTGTGGTGAAACTTATCAAGATCCTGCCATGTGAAGTTTGAAATGCTGAACTGTTGATATACCAACTTTTTCCAGTTCGAAAACAAACTAAAATGCTTTCAACTTAAGAAACATTAGTCAGCCTTAGAGAATGTCTGAACTGTTTAACTGTAACAGTGGTGTATGAAGACTGATGTCGGTGGGATTCTAATATAAGCAAGTGATACCAATAGAAACAATATCAAGTTGTTTTACAGCAAAGCCGAAGTCTTAATGCTTAATTACACAGCATTAAGACAACATTGAGATATGAAGATGAGTAACTGGTGATACTACTGCTATTAAATGATATCAGAAATATGAGATTAGTCAAGAAAATAGATATCAACAAAGTGTCACTGAGAATCAAGTTCAAGCTGCAACCAACCACATTTCATTTTACAGTTTAAGCCTCGATAGGTGCAATATACAACTAAGGTGGCTAAACGTGAGTTACTAATAGAAGTTGATGATTTAGGCTAGGACACAAGTCATCTCGAGGAATAGATCTCAGGGATAAGATTTATGCTTGAGACTTCCTCAATTTTTAGGAAAATACCTTATTAGAAGTCTGGAGAAGGTGTTCTTCTCTGTTTTCATCTTGTGAAAAAGTATAATTATCTTTCTTGAAAATTCAACTGTGAAATCAGACTATGGGGTTTTGGGGTTTTGGGGTTTTGGGGTTTTGGGG